TATTGAGAGTTGATTCACATTTATTTTTGTCATTAAGACTTCCTCTTAATTCATACATAAGTCTCACTTCTTGTTCTTGTATTCTACGATAAGGTTCACAGCTCTTCTTCAGTTCTTCGCATTTTCCATTCTTTCCATTATTTTGTACAAGTATTTCGCAGCTCAACATAAACTTATCACAATAAGGCTCCCATAAATCACATGTAGGGCCCTTTATGTCTGCATTACCATTCTTCACTTGATCTAGAACGTCTTCAATATCTATGTTTCTTTCTAATATATAACATTTAGATTTAATGTCTCTAGTAATGATTTGACAAGTAGTGACTAACTGTATACACGAAAAAATAAATCTTGTTCTCTTTTTTTTAGACCATTTATTACATTTTTCTGAAACTTTTTTTATACATGTATCTAAATTGCCTAAATTTTCTACTTTTTCTTCTAACAAAATTTCCTCTAATTCCTTAGCATTTTCCAAATGATCACATCGTTCTTTCAGTGTAAAACATGGTAAGTCGTTCGTTTTTGAATCATCTCCTAACACTTCACATTTCTCTTTTAGTTTTTTGCAATCTTCTTCATTCGGAAAATCCCTTTTCCAATCCAGATCGTTTCTAAGCCACTTACTTTGTCTTTCGATATCATTTGCAAGTTCCTTACAAGTATCCCATGGGTGTAAACAAAGATTCATTAATACAGGATTATTATTACTAATTATTTTCTTACATAGAGTCCATAGTTCATTTATGCATGTTTTAAGCGAATTATTTGTTAAATTATGCAGTTTTCCTTTTAATGTATCCTGAAATACTTGATACTCTTTTCTGAAAAGCCGTGTTTTTAAACATGTTGATTCTACATTGATGCATGCACTAAACATTTTAATATTCACGCTATTACATGATTTCTTTAAATAAAAACATTTTGATTCTAAATTTATACAAAGCTTTTCATTAAACTCAGTAGATTGCTTGGTCCATCCTATAAGTGTAGCATCTTTATTGTCTTCATTAGTATCTGATAGCGATGAATCATATAATTTTGATTTAAAAAACCTGCATTTAGATTTCAATTCTTCTTCTAAGGTATTACATATTTCTTTGCTTTTATTCATTTTTTCCTTAGTACCGTTATATAAATCCTCTAATTGAGGTAAAAAGCTGCAAAGTTTATGGCAACTTTTAATATTAGTTTCACAACTATTTAAATAATTATTTGATAATAATACTAAAAGATCAATTGTATCTTTTATCCCTGGTTTTCCAACTTCGTCTTTGAATAATTTTTCTTTTCCAACTTTTTCTATTAATATAATTTCTTTTCCTATTGGGTTAAATGGTAAAGAAGAGTGTTTGTATTTTAGTTCTTTTTCACATCTTTTTTTTATTTCTTTACACATATTTTGAATACCATCGCAATCTGATTCATGAAAGTTGCATTCCTCAAATAATGAAGTGCATTCTTCTTTTGATATTTTATTGTTTTCAATAAAAATTTTTGTTTTAAATTCTAAATCACTACACTTTTCCCTAATTAATCTTATGAGATCCTTACATCTATTAAAAGGAATTAAACAAAACTCCATCAATTCATCGCTTTCTCCCATGAATGCAAGACATTTTTTGTCAATTATTTTTTCACACTCTTCTTCAGTCTTCAAATTGCCAGATAAGGCTCTTAAGAGAAATTCTGTTTTTAAATCATCTCGCCTTTTTTCTCTACATGATGTTCTTAAATAATTGCATTCTTCATTAACTTCTATTGGACATGCTTCTTCTATACGCATACATTCTTTTTCATACAAACAATAAGAACTTATGGACGGTTTACTTCGGATACTTTTTAAGCTTTGTTTAAGTATAGTACATTTTCTTGTAATAGTTTTTTTTAAACTATCGCACTTTTCATCTAGTTTTTTTTCTTCGCATAGTTCTTTTAATACACCGAAGGAGCTTTCTAGCATTTGAGTCATATTTCTTAAATTTTCACAGTATTTTCTTAGCCTTGCTTCACATTCAGTATTCATTGCATCTTTTAGAATTAAAGCAAAAATATTTTCTTCACTAGATAAATAATTTGTTAATTTTACAAGTTCTAGTATTATTTAAAGGCTTTTATACGTTATACGGAATAATGGATTTTGTGATGGGTTTTGTGACGAATTTTGTAATAGATTTAAAGATTCTTTATAAGTAGATTCTAGAAAAAGTTAAAAGTCTAAAAAAGTAAAATATAATACCAATGTTTTTCGAGAAAGCATATGCTATGCCAAAAAAGTTGACTAATGCAAATGCTTTCATCTATAATGATAACAAATAATAATTTTTATAAAAAGTACTTCATATTTGACATCGAAAAAATATCTTAGTAAAAAGTATCGATAAACGATAATAATAAAATACAATAAATAGGCAAATATGTACCATTTTGAATTGTACTGTATTGTACTTAGATATTTTGACTCTCGTTGGGTTTTTAATTTTTAATATTAATATGTAAATTCTCACAAAAAAATATTTTTAATAAAGATTTTAAATAACAATTTTATTAATATTTTTTATGATTTTTACTCTCTAATACTCTCTTTATTATTATTCTCTATCTTTTACTTCATTTTTATAGATATAAATATAAATAATATTGTCTTGATTTTTTCTACATTTGTCTTATTTTTTGAATTTAACTTTCCGAGTGCTTCTAAAAAACTTGAAAATATAGTCAAGATTTTCACTTTTTATTTTTTATTTAAAGCTATTTCATAAATTTATTCATTTTTATTTTTTGCTCTTGGTTTTAAAGTTGAAGTACAAATTTTAGGTTATTCATGTCATTTTTTGTTTTTTTAAACTTTTTGTTGATTTTTCTTATTCTAGAGTAATTCAAGTTGTAAAAATGCTTTTTAAATAATAATGATTATGACTTTTAAAATTTATTTGTACCTTTGTGTGTTTCAGTTTTTGGTTTAGGATTTTTATTTTTTTCTTATTTCGTACAAGTTTTGTACACTTTTAATATTAATAAATTTCAGTATATTATTTTATTGATTTTAACTTTTTTAATTTTTGTTTTAAATTCTCTTGTTCTTTAATTTTTTTTGAAATTTAAAAAGAATTTTACATTGATCAATTCAAAACTTAATTCTTTTTAGTTTTTTATGATGTATAAGACATATTTTTTTAAAAAATATTCATAATTTTTTGAATTTATAAATGTTTCAAACATTTGTTTTTGTAATGATCATTTTTTAGTTTGTATTTTTTATAGTTTTCATAACTCATTTTGTATTTTATATCATTGGCTTTTCATACAATCAAATTTTTAGATATTGCTGTAATATAGATTATTCTACAAGTTATTATTTTAAACATTTCTTTTAAATATTCTTTTTAGAAATGATAACGATTATATAGATATTTATGCATTCATTTGAATTTTTTTTGGAGTTAAAAGTATACATTTATACATAATAATGGTTAATTTTAAAATACGCTTTATAGTTTTATTTATGTTCAAATGTCTCTAGAGTAGTATGGGGCAAATCAGGAGTAAATATAGATAATGCAAAAACGAATAGAAAATATAAGCATGGCTAGTAAGAAAACGGCTTAGTGAAAAATATAGGTCAATTATAGAGAAGAGAGTTTTTGAAAAAAATTCAATCTAAATTAACACAGAAGAGACTATTTTTAATTTATTTTGCAGTTCTTGTCATTTTACTTGCTTGTCTAAACATGCATGCTCTCTTCTAAATTCTGCTTATACATTTCTTAAACGTTCATTAAGTGCTTTTATTTATTAGCGTAAATAAATTTTTTTTAATTAGAATTAAAAATAAGTTTTAATTTAAAAATTTTTTATTTGAAATGATTTAAAATTTCATTGAGTCAATATTTTTAGAAAATAAAAATTCAAAAAAAAATAAAAAATGTCTAAAATATATTTTCTAATACAATATACTTTATAATACATTTTATGTAAATAATGAGAGCAAATATAAAAATCTCTATTTATTATATAAATATATAATTTGTTTTTAAAGACTTTTTTAAAAACTAATACTGAATAACTAGTTTAATGCAAAAATATTAAAAATAGGATTTTATTTTCTATTTATTATTTTTAAAAAAATTATAATTTTTAGTTTTAATGTATTTTTGTTTATAAAGAAACTTTTTTATGAAAAAACTAACCTATAAAATTAATTTCATTATCTATTTTCTAGATTATATTTGTGACAAAAACCAATACTCTACATGATTCAATGATAATGCCTTATGATTTGATCAGGTTCCTAATAATTAAATTTTAATTTTACTGTTTTATTTTTGATAGTTATTTGGTTTTTAATATTGTTTATATCCTTATTAATATATTTTTGAAAAATAATCAACAACTTTTATAATAACATTATTATCAAAATCATATTAGATTGAAAAGCAATAACCCAAATTACATTCTGTTTAGAAGATACAATTTGTGAGTCAAAAATAAAACTGATTTAATTTTAACATCAAGCCGACTTACTAAGCGTAGAATCTTTAAGTTTACTATAGTTTATGTGACCACTGTAACATGCTTCTTCCAGCATTGTACAATTAGTAATATTCTTAAAAATGTCTGATAAACTGTGACATTCATAAACATAAGATGCACATTCCGTTAAAGTAGGAGGTTCTGATACATATAGTAAGCCTCTCTTTAAATCACCATACCTTGCTGAAAAATCATGAAATAATCTATCAAGTAAGTTACCTGGGGAAGTTATCGAGGCGGGGGGGGGGGGGTGATTAGGGGTAGGGTGTAAACACCATCTAAATAAGACCTCGTTAGTTCCTCCAAACTCAGCACATATATCTAGAATAGGCTGGTGTAACTTAAAAGTATCAGAGGATTGAGATAGATGAGATTGATTAAAAATGCTAAAATCAGTGGATGGTATTTTTTCTTTGAGTTTTTTCCAAACATCATTCAAGTGAGATCTTTTTATACCCAGTGTATAACATAGAGCTTTTAGATTTTCACATGGACTTTTAATACCAGAACAAACATGTTCAAAATAAATGCATTCTTCCATTAGCATTTGACATTGAGGTATAGTTATAATGTTTGCTGTACTGTTCCATAGTATAGTCCAAACACCTTTTGTAGAAGTAAGACCTAAATCTTCAAATGTTTTGTTTAAATTGATACATGTTTCATTGATGCTTTCATTCAAATTATCGCATTCATCAGTTCGTTTACTTTCACAATATGCATCAAGATTAAAAAATACACGTTAATGATTAATGCAATCATATTTAAGAAAGTCTATACATTTTTGTTTTAAACTAGAACCAAGTCTCCTTGAGGAAGCTCCAAATATTATAAGAAGAGTAAGATATGGATTTTTATAAGGCAGTGAAACGCTATTTTCTCTTTCATTAAGAAAAAACAAAGTCAAATTTACGTTTTTAAACATCGAACTGCATTCTCCTAAAGAAAAGTTGTTTATAAACAGCATATCTGGATCAATGTTTTTAGTGCATTCTTCTATTATTGACTTGCAAAGATTCTTTGTTGCCTGATTACGACAATGTAATAACAAATAGTACTCACAAACGCCAAGCAATGAGCAATTATTTCTCGTTATTTCTTTTGTATAGCCTGTAATATGGAGCTTTTCTGAAAGAAATTCCTTAATATAATAGTTAAAACATCGACAAGTAAAGATAACACTTTGAGCAAAGTGTTTACATGTATCCTGTATTCCAAAACAAGACTTTACCATAGTAGGCCCGAAAGAGGTTACACAATGGCATTTGTCAAGAAGACTGTCAACACATTGACTATATTCTTCAAATTCATTATGTTTTGGATTATGTGTTAGTTCACTATTTATTATTTTTTCACCTATAAATTTCAATAATATGCTATTTTCACTATCTTTTGTATATTTCTTATAACAAAGCCCATTAAATCTAGCACATAAATCGCCAATTAAAGTGTGACAGATTCTTTGAAAAACTACACACAACGTTCCATAATTTTCGCAGTGCTCTGCTTCTATTCTTGTATTCTTCTCTCCCACAAATAAATCTTCACCTAAATAATAATAATAATCGAGTTTTTCCTTTATACCATTACATTTTTTATTTAAGTCTTTTTTAATATCACCATTAGTAAAGAGACCTTTGCAATAAGTATTTCTTTTATCTAAGTTGCACAGTCTTTTTAGTACATTAGAAAAACCTCCTTCTGGTAGCTTTTCTACGAATTTTTTACATAAATATTCTAAATATAATTTACATTGTCTTTCAGTTGTGATAGAATCTTCTAAGATAAGACTATACATAGAAGTATCATCATCTAAAACAATAAACCATGCGGATGAAGTTAATGAGCGTTTTGATAAGGAATTAGTTAATTCAGAATAGGTTGATGAGTTATAACCCCTAATTTTTTTTGAAGTAAATAAATTTAAGTTTTCTTTTGGTTCTAAAAGATAAAAATTAAAAAAAAACGAAAAAAAATAAAAATACCATAAGTATTAATACCTTTCGAAAAAGCATATGATATTGTGCTTAAAATCACAAAGATAACAAAAACAAAAGTCTTCATTTAGAGAGATGATATGCTTCAGTTGTTTCCATTATG